AATGGCTCTTTTGGAGCGTTTTGGCTTCTGAACCAAATAAGACTATGTAACTAGATTTTACAGCTGCTCCTTGAAAGCAGGGGAAACCCCCCGCAGCACACCTTTTGAAGCCTAAACTCCCTAAACCCCAGACCCTTTAACCCTAGACAGACGGCAAGGGACTCAACACCCACTCTCTTGGGTTTCTGGTTTCAGAGCTGTGGGGCCTAAACCCTAGACAACCCTGAAGCCGAATCCCATCCAGGAGTTCTGAACCTTAAGCCTTAAGCTGGGTTCTTGTTAGCGGAATTTAATAAATTTGAATTACCATCGTAAGGAAGTCATACTGTTTACTATAGAACCGTATTATGGTAACTTAAATCAAATTCCACAAGAAGAACCCACTAAGCCTCTTTAGCGCTTGAGTTCTGAGGTCCTACGGCTTACGATTGAATTCCTAAGCCTTCTTGCCTAAGCTGCGCCAGGCCCGAAACCCAACAACCACAATGCCAAACCGCAAACTTAGCTAGAATCACCAACTAGCTACTTTGGGTTTCCTTTACATGAGGAGCATGAGACCCCTTTGAGGGGGACTTCGGGCTCGCTTATACCCCAGATCCGGACATCCTACTCCCCTGACCGAATCATAAAGCTAAAATCCGGAATTCCTTTCTTTCTCGGTTCTTGAGTATATAGTACCTTTTTGCCATTTTCATTTTGGGGTCTCCTTATGAAAACAGAATTAGTAGGAAAAAGAATACCCTTATTACTGAGAGGACCACGAAGCCCTTGGCATCATCCAGCAGTTGGCAAGTGCAGTCATCGAGGTGCTGCTGCTGTTGAGGGCCTTATCTTCCGGGATTAAGGCCTTGAGCCCTAGCTCTACAGTGCCTAAACCCTAAACCCTGAACAATAAACCCTACTAGAGGGTTGGATTTTGGGGCTGTGCAGAGTATGTGTTCATAGGTGTTCGGCTCCCCGAGCTCGGGCACAATGATTCGAACCATTTCGCCCCTCCACGGTTTAGGGTTTAGCGGTTTAGGGTTTAGGGTTTAGGGTTTAGGGCCTTTTTGATGCAGGACTGTTTTGCAGGTTGCAGCTGCACGAAGACCCTTTTTGCCGATACGACTCTAGCGCACATCTCATACGCGATGTTCAGCAGAAGTTTCCAGTCAAGATGTTGACTGAGACCCAAATCGCACGAGCGGGGCAGTTGTGGGGGAGTTGGGAGTCCTAGTAGTAGAGTAGGTAACCGTTAACCTTTTTTGGGTAGTGTAGTCCTTATATAATCCCTGTATAACCAAAAAAGTTAACCTTTGGTTCCCCATGATACCCGACAAGTAGGGAGTTCTTTAGTTGGACGAGGAGTTACGTCTACGAGTCCAAACGGGTGGGTCGCTCGCAACGGCTACAACTAGAAGCTAGGTCGGTGTGTCACGGAGATCGCAGCTGTTTGATCTAGGCACATTAGGTATGTGCATAGGCCAAGCTTAAACTTGCGGACATCTAAAGCAGGATCGAATCCTACCTTACCCGAAATCTAAAACCGCCTAAACGCTACACTGTGAACCCTGAGCCCTAAAGCCGTAAACCTTCAACCGGCAGGAGCTGCATGCCCTGCTGGATGTGCGGTTGGTTCGGGAGCACCGGGATGTCATGCAGGCTCCTTCAAGGGCTCCGCTAAGGGTTGCCGCAAGGGCGTTGTACGGTGCTATAGAGTTCTATTGTTTTGTTTGCGGGGCTTCCTCTTCTAAGGGGGTGCATCGCGGACTCTGAACTTTATGGCTTAGGGTTAAGGTTTGGGATGTAGGGTTTAGAACAGGTCCAGGGCATCGAGTTCTGAAGAAGGATGGAGCCGCCGTCCTAGCAGCAGTCGGCGGGTCAAGGGCTTCCATCTTTGCAATTGCACTCGTGGGGAGCGTTAGACCGCAGGGTCGTCTTGAAGATATCCCTACATCAACCTAAGCTGTGTTACCCTTCTTTAAGTCGTAGGAGTTTGCAAAAGAGAAGAATCCAGCAACGAAAGCACCAGGGACAACCCTCGTCGCCGCACCATGATGATCTCTCGGACATTTTGGGGTTCAAGGTGTGAGGTTAGGGTTTAGGGTTTAGGGCTTCAAGGTGTTAGGTGGAAGGTGTACTTCACCCCTGCCCCATTGACTTAAGAACAAGATTCGCAGCAGGCAGGGTATCAAGGTAAGCCGTGCAGGAACTGCTTCATGCACTGGTTTTTTGGCCGTAAACCTGGTACCTGCAAACCAGGAATCGCTGCCCATGCGTTTGATGACTTTAACTTTGTTCTGGATGGTCGCAGTTTGCAGGGCAAAGCGGAGCGATAGCCATAGCAGCAGGTGCTTGTAAAGGCAGAAACACTGGCGGTAGGGGTCCAGGAGAGCATTCATGTGAGGGTGCAGGTCAGGTGTAGGAAGCACTCATCACAAATCCATGGCATCAAACAAATCATTATGTTTGTAATCGCAGTGCAATCCCAATCCGGAGACTGCGGGCTGGGCGGCACGCAGCTTGTGGACGAGCCCTCCGAGGTCGAGGAGCGACTCTGCCAACTGCGAGGCGAGCAGATGCATGCCTGGAAAGCTTTCCAAAACAAGCCATACGCTTGATGATATAAATCCTGCATTGCCTTAAGGACCCATAGTTTAAATCATGGTGTCTTCCTTATTGTGGTAATGCAGGATTTATATCATCAACCGTAGTGATTTACTCGCCTGCCAGGATTTCCTGAAGGACAAGCTAGATCAAGCTATCGGGACAGCTCAATGTGAACGACGACGGGCCGGCCTGGCTGTTTTCCGACAGATCCTGTGGGGTCGCAGTCGATGGCTCAGGTGCCCACTGGAGAAGGGCGGGAAGCCGACTTGGCATACGACGTGGGCAAGCTCGGCACTTGTCCTGCGCAGGGTACCACCCGGCAGGATCAACCTTGAGTTTTGAGGTGTCAAGCAAGAAATTAACTAATTCAGCCCCGTGAACCGTAAACACTCTTGTCCCAGAACCCCTAAATCAGAACTGTCAGCACCCCAAACTCTACCTCCCCAAATCCACCCCCCAAAGCTCTAAGATCTCCGAGGCCTAAGACCAACCCCACATGAATCTAAACCCTATAAGGTCTAGGGTTTGGGGTTTAGGGTTTGGGGGTTTAGGGTTTTTGGAGTTTCATTGATGGTTTGGGGTTTAGGGGTTTGGGGTTTGAAGAGTTTAGGGGTTTGGGGTTTAGGGTTTAGGGTACCCCCCTAAGGAGAACCTCCCAGCTCCGAAATCCGTCTTCTCCCCCCTGCAGCGCATGGTCGGGCTGGCCAAGCAGCTGGATAACTTCAGGGTGGCGCCCTCAAGCGCGCGGATGCATATGATTCTACAATGAACCTATGGTTGTTCAGAAGTTTTAGTTGCGCTTGTTCATTGGGTGTTTGTCGAGGTTTCACAGGGTCTTAGCTGGCTTTGTACGGAGTTGCAGCAGGTTTCAGGGTTTGGAGCTTTCAGGTTTGGGGCTCCAGGGTTTACAGTGAATTTGGGAGCAATTTATCAGAGATTTAGGTTTGTAATGTTTGGGGTAGGGAGCAAAAGCCTCCGTAACCCCAAACCCTGATCCTTGAACCCTAAACCAAGCCCTAAACCTAATGGCTACGGCTCAAGGTACACCTGTACTGTTTTTTTGCGTCCTTTGGGAGGAGAACACCTACAGTCTCCAGTGTAGTTCCTTTTATGGGGGTTACCTTATAGAGTCTTAAACATTGGTTAAACCAAACCGAATGTCTCTATTGTAGTTCCTTTTGGGGATTACCTGTTAGGATCCTGCATATAAAATAGGCTAAACCAAAAAATAGGAACTACAAAGGAGACTATAGGCAAGGTGCACGGGCAAGGCAGTAAGGCCTGAATCGTTCCCTCCTGCGGCTGGACAGCTTAGGCTTTGGGGTTTGTTTAGGGTTTAGGGTTTGGCTTTTGGGGTTTAGGGTTTGGGGTTTGTTTAGGGTTTAGGGTTCAGGGTTTGGCTTAAGGCTTTAGGGATGGGGTTTAGGGCTTAGGGTTTAGAGGCAAGTCTCTCAGAGTGCTTGGGATGATGCTCCAAGGATGGATCATTACCCTCTGGGTCCTTGTCCCAACCCCCGTGGAAACTGAGAAGCCTGAGTTGCGGACATTTGAGATGGTAAAGCAACTTCTCACGGGGAGGATGGGAGTGAAGCCATGCACCATCCAGGATATCTTCATCCCAAGAACTGAGAAGGGAAAAAGGGAAGGAGCAAGCTCACGGTGTGCTTATGTCCGGTTCCTACAAAAGGACAGACAAACCCCGAAAGTGGAGACCGTTCCGGGAATCTACGACATAAGCAGCCTTCCCCCTTTCGACCCCAAAGCTCAGGCTCCAAGCATGAACCCCTTAAATGATCTTAAATGCGACCCCCGAGCGCGAAAGCCCCCACATCCAAGAAGTGTAGAGGTCCCCAAGGGTCCAAGGACCCAATAATTAGGTCCTCGGCTTTAGGATAGTAGTTATGTAGGTTAGGATTTTGGAGAGTATGTGATTATTGGGTACTTGGACCCTTGGGGAGTTTGATACGATGCCAAGCAGCTTAACGTCCCCAGCACGCCCTCCAAAGCCACAACTCCGAAAAGCCCGCAGCATCCCAAAACCGGCGCTCATAGGTGAACAAGTCTGACATCGTGCAGAGAAAGTACCAGGCCAGCCGTGGGGCGGTAGGGCTAAAGGTCACTTAGTCTTGAAGATTTAAGGCTTAGCTAGTGCTGTGTCTCAGAAATTTCCTGGTATGAGGTTCATCATGAGACCTCAGGAAAGCCTTTCTATTATTTGGTCCATGCAAGAACACACTACTCAAGGAAGGAGCGCAAGCGTCGCTTTCGGGCACTGATCTACGGGTACCGGTTTCGTGCCATTTAGGCACTCGTCAGCCATACAACTGCGGTAAGCAGCTGTTGATCAGTGTTAGCCTGGACATTGTGCTGCTACTTTTTATGTGCATGCACATAAAAAGCCCACCCAGCCCTCACCCCGGCACGAAGTTGTACCGGTAGGTTTGCCGGAAAAGACTGAAAGAACATTTCCATGCCACTGTCAACGTAGCCTCAGGCAGTGTTGACTGTTTATACGCTTCAAAACGTGACAATCTAGCTTTCAGCATGTTCCATGCTTTTTGGAGTCCAAGCCGTTTGGTCACGTTACTGTACTCGAGATTGCAGACAATACAGTTCACTGAAGAGGTCGACGGGATTTCAGGTTCACACCGAAGATGCCGACTTCGAAGCTTGTGTAACAAAGTCATCCGACGATCCACATCGTAAGTAGCCTGTGAAAGCCATGATTCTGGATGCAATCTGTTTGCGAGCTGTCGTCGCATAGATTCCACGTCGTCAAGAAAACCAGACTCCGTGCTGTTCAATATCAGAAATCTCGCGACTTGACTCTTGAAGATATGTTTCCGACATGGCAAAGGATGCTCACTGTACGCATGAAGATACTGTGGATTGTGTTGTGGCTTGCGGTACACGAAGGTGTTCAACTGCTCTCCGTCATACCTGATGGAAAGATCCAAGAAATCGAGTCGAGAAAATGACACTTTGAAAGTCCATTTGAACTGCTCGGTGTCAACGCGCTGAAGAGCTGACAAGAAAGACTGAACAGTAGCCTGATTTCCAAGGAAAATACTGGCGGTGTCGTCGACATAACCATAATACTTGGATAGTAGTCCAGTTTCAAAAGCCTGACTCACGAGAGGTCTGAAATGATGTTCTCGGTGTATGTTTGCAGCATCGGTAGCTATGCGCTCACCAATACTTAAAGACCGTGGTTTCTTGTAGACCTTGCCATTGATGAAAGCCGCTTTGTTGTGTAGGATGATGAGGACTAGCTTCGCAACAAAGTCCTTGGCAGCCTGATTCACGCCGTAGTAGTTATCCAATCCAGAACAGAGCGAAACCTGCAATGAATCCAAGTTTATGCGTGGGTAGAAATCTTCCAAATCGGCAGCTACAAAGACCAACTGACGAGTATCATGTCCGAGTGGAGGTGGATGGTCCAGTAAATCCAACAAGACTTGCTTCGAGTCCATGACCGTTGTCTCGCAAATGCAAATTACCTTTCGCAAAATGCTGGAAACGAAGATCGTCAGATTGTTGAAGGGGGACCGCGTATCAACCTCGACTCGACGTAACTTGCATCCTGGTTTGTGTAGCTTCACGAGATATCGGATTTTGCCCAGGCATGTCAAAACTGCAGGTAGTGAAGCTCTGCTTGGATTGGGGAATCCCAGATCGCGGAGTGGCTGTAGAATAAAGTTCATCGTCCCAACATCAATCAAGTGGTTCTGAATAGCACGATCACAAAGGGATCGCAAAAGGTCATATGCTGAAATCAAATACCACATGAGCTCGTTGCCTGAAACTTCGGTGAAGGCACCATCGACGGTTTCCCGAAGATATTGTTTGCGAAGATAACCTGCAGAAATGTAAACAGGACCATATCCTTTGTCTGCTGAGATCTTGCAAACAGAGCTTCTGTTAGCTTGAAGCCAGCTAAGAGCTTTTTTGATATAGAACGGCATTGTGGGCTGCGGCTCCCAAGATTGGAGGCTGCTGGCCTTTGACAATAAACCCTCGCACCATGACTCCAATTCTTGTTCGATCTCTGCATTCAGCTTCGGGTTGAAAGATGAAGGCAATCGGAACCTCTTGAAGAAAGGAGTGTGGTTCTGCTGCTTGTGGGGCTTGCTGTCGAAGAAAAGCCGTAGTTTGACTTTGCGTACAAGTTCTCGGACTGATGACTGGAAAGATGCACGGCAATACCGCGCCAAAGGAATGAATTTGTCTCCAAGGACGAGCAGAGTTTGCGCTGCCGGAGGAAAAGTCTCTGGATCAATATCTGTATGATGCAAAGAAACAAACTTCCGAATCAAAACCAGATCAACCAAGGTCAGCTGCTGTACATACTCAAAGAAAAGAGCTGCAAGGTTGCGGGGCGATTCACGCTGTACATGGGGTGTAGCTTTGCTTTGGCGTCCGCGGCTTTTGTTGCCAAAATGGCAACGGCGGAGATTTCGAAGGTTCATGTACATGTCACGCGGCTTGCATTGCTGCGGCTGCTGTTCCTGCTGCCGTGCTGCGACTGCCTGCTTTTGCTGCGGGATGTGTGGCGGCTGAAGCTGCGGTGGCTTGTCATAGATTTCGCGGAACTTTTTGACTGCCTTGGTTTTGAATCTCGGTTGGCTGAAACTTGCCGCTGCGAGCTGGATCGTCCTCTCGTAGAAGATGTCTTTGCGTCTTGTCGCGATGCTTTGGAACTTGTTCTCATCTGCGCTTGCCGACGGTGAGCTGAAGCGGACCTTGCGGGTGCTTGATTCTTTCTGCTGGTGCTTCTGTTTGTTTTGCCTTTGCTCCGAGCTCGACTGGGAGTATTGTGCTTGTGTTTGGATGCTGCGCTGTTGCTGCGACGATGCTTGTCTTGTTCGCTTTTTGAACCAGAGCCAACCATGTTGCCCTTCACCTTGGACTTGCTCTGCTGGAAAATCTTCGTCATCCTTGAGTCCAGGTGGGCCAAGCCGTTTTTTTGCAAATCGGACTTCATGTTGTAGACCTGGTCCTCGAGCATCGTCAACTGCTGTCCGCGCCTAACACGACGATATTCTTGCTCCATTTGCTCTTTCGTGGCTAAACATACAGAAATCAAACGCTCCTCCATTTCTCGGAAGAAAACCGCTAAAGCAACCTTTGGGTACGCCTGAATAAGTTCATCGAATTTGTGTTCGCGATCGGCACGTTTCTTGTCGGAGTCCTCCTTGTTCTTGCTTCGATCTGTGTACTTCTTCGCCGCCTTGTGCATGTATTCTGGTAAGCTGGCAAAAAGAATGCAAACCACATGAGCTCTCATCCTCTGCATGTCGTTCTGGTTCATGCGCATTTGATTTTCAAGCATCTTGTCAAAGAACTCGCCGAGCTTCGCGCGAATAAAAGTCAAAGTTTCCAGATCCTTAGCTTTCAAAGCAACCCATTGTTTTGTTGCATCGATTTTGCGCTTAAGGTCTTCCATGGCCATCTTGTCGTCAGCCTGCTTTTGGGCTGCATCGAATTCGTCTTTCATCTCTTTCTTGAACTGCTGACCCGATCTGTGCTGCAGTGGCTTCGGCCATTTGCCTTGTGCATACATTGCAGCATCCGCCTTGAGAGTTTGGAGGGCCCTGTGTAGGCCGTCGCATTCGCCATGATATGTCTTGCTGGTTCTGTCTATAAACTCGGGCACCATGTCTTTGAAAATGCCATCCTTGATGAATTCATCTGCCCGGCCCATAAGACGGATGGTGTCGAGCGAGACGTCTGTGAACTCAGATCTCGTCAAAGGCAATGCTGGCTCAAAACTCAAATCATTGATCAGCTTGTTAACTTCTGCCACAAGTGGATCCATTTCGGTATCAACTTGTTGGTTTTGCACTTGCATAGGGTCAAGCAGTGCAGGATTGTTCGAAGGTGCCCTGGCATGTAAAGCTATAGCTTCGCGAAAATCTTCATTTGGAGCTGGAATACTCTGAACAGGATATGGGGCTGTACGAGCTTGTAACGAAGATGCACGTTGGAACGATGAACCAAGCGGCACTGAAGATCGACCATCAAACAACGGATGTTCTCCACCTTGATCCCCCAATGCGGTACGCACGCTTTCCGAAACGTTCCCCTGTGCTAAAGAAACACCATGGGGAAAGCCAGCTGAACCAGACAGAAAAGCCATGGCCAAGCTACAACGTGCGTCAACACACTACTCAACGAAGGAGCGCAAGCGTCGCTTTCGGGCACTGATCTACGGGTACCGGTTTCGTGCCATTTAGGCACTCGTCAGCCATACAACTGCGGTAAGCAGCTGTTGATCAGTGTTAGCCTGGACATTGTGCTGCTACTTTTTATGTGCATGCACATAAAAAAGTAGCAGCACAATGCGGGTTTAAGGGCTCGTAGGGCTTGAGAAACTGAGGGCTTTGAGGTTTTAGGGTTTGAGGATTTGGCACCCTGAACCCGAAAGCCGAATACAGAAGCCAGAAACATGATTGGTAGTAACATTCTGTTCTAGCCTCTAGTACGTTTTAGACTTTATACCCCCAAAACCCTGTTGAACAAATCATCCTGGACCCTACAGTCAACCCATATCGTTCCTGGGGTGATGTTTGGGGTTCAGACGCCACTGCCGCTAATTCAGGGTCCATATTGCTGCTTTATGAGGGAAATGTAGGGCCTTCCTCAGAACAGGGTTACTTATTCCTCTAGGTAGTTTGATTAAAGGAATCTTGGTCCCTTTCCTGAATTACGGGATGCCGGATCGTGTGACGTTGACGTTTGTAATGTACTTACCCTCAAGCCTTCGATGATCTTCGTTGCCCACCGCAGATGGACGTGAGCGTCCGTTCCTCCGGATTCAGCGAAATTAGGAACCTCCCGCAATGTCGATGTTAGGCAGCAGCAGGGCGTGCAGGCAGCAGCTCCGTCAACAACCTCTGGATGACATTCATTACCCGGCAATACCCTAAGGCTCAAAATGGCTCAAAAGCCTTATATAATATGGTCTTTAGGCCCAAAAGCCTTAAAATATGACTCCTCACAGTCTTAGGGTTAAGGCCTGTCGGCTGTGTGGAAAGCAATCTGTGGGCTGCTGGAGTGCCTGCTTCGCGACGCCGGGCCGGGCCGAGGAAACGGCAGGACCTGCGTCGTCTTGTTGTTTAGGGTTTAGGGGTTTAGGGTTTAGGGTTGGTTTATGGTTTAGGGTTTAGGATGCACGGCTTCATGGCTGCAGCTCAGGCCCTAAGCCCCTGTATTGCTTGTAACCCTCTAAAACAAAACTAGGCCCTAAGCCCTAGACCTGAAACACCCTTATAAGGCCTTCTGAACCCCTATAATATCCCCATGAAAAACACCCCCCCCGCAAAAAAAAGCTTGAACCCTACACCCTAAAGCATCCTAAAACCGCTAAAGCCCTTCGCCAGGCGATCCTCGGCCAGGTTATCCGGGAGAACCTGCAGTCTAGCACCAATTTTATGTGCCGGCCTCGACAAGCGTTTGCTTTGGGGCTTGCCCTGGAATTTATAGATACATGAGTGAATAAAGATAGGTGTATATATATATATATACACACCTTATATATTTATGTACTTATTAAGTAGATAGACGTATACGCACTACACCTGTATATACATATACAATGTATTATATAGGTGTATTTTCGACAACTCTGGGTTCAAGGGCGCCCACCGAGACCAACACCTTCAGCTTTCGATATTCAGAAGTCTTGCTAAGCCCGGAACCCGAAACCCCAAACCACCAAACTCTAAACCTTGAATCATCAACCCAAGACCTCACCCGTGCCGAACGAAAACCCTTAGGAAAAACGCCTTCTCAGCGGACAGAGTCCCTGCGAGGCCTGGTGTACAGACGGAGAGCCGGCGGAGTTGTCTGCCGGGTCGATGGCTCCGGCCTCCCTATTCCCAGAACTGAAAGTGGTTTGGAGATGCCTTCTCCACTCAAGTCAGCGCACCATGGAGAACACGCTGATGAGCGATGCCAAGACGGAGTTCCTGATGTCATCTCTGGTGACCTCCTTTTCTTCGGATGGCTCGCTGGGCTCCTTTGCTCGAGGACTGAAGAACTCGCCGAAGCTCCGCGAACAGTTCAGGAATGCAGAGGTCGAGTACCCTAAACCCTAATCCCTGCATCCAAATCATCGCAAACCGCTAACCCACAACGGAGACCTTCGGTATAACCCAAATCCCTAATCCCCGAACCCAAAATCCTCAGCCCCAAACACTGAACCCTCTAAAGTAACCCAACGGAGGAACTACAATGGAGACCGAAAGTATCTAGGCTCCTATGAAGAGACCCCGCAAAAAGGTTCTACAATGGAGACTTTAACACCAAAACCTAAACAAAACCCTAAACCCCAAACCCTAGTACCTAAACTCCAAACCATAAACTACGCCCTAAGCCCCAATCCCCAAAGCCTAATCCTATAACCCCCCCCCCCGCCCCCCCCACCCCCCAAAAAAAAAATCTTATAACCCCCCCCCCCCCCCCAAAAAAAAAAAAAAATATATATATATATATATATATATATATATATATGCTCTCGGGTCCCGGGCCCCCCCCCCCCCCCCCCCCCCCCCATGGTATCCCCCCCCCCTCGGAGCCCTTTTCTGTGATCCCACGTAAAGGCTCCAAAACCGTCAACTGTCACGAGGATGGCGCCCCTCACCGTGCACGTCTCCCACATGAAGGCACCACAACCAGTAACCGTCACGAGGATCGCGTTCCAAACACGCCCGATCCTTGTGACAGTGGACACCTTCCGTCCGAACCCAGGCAACTGTGAACAGGACCGCGTCCCTGACAGGCCCGATCTCTGTGCCCAATTGTCAGGAAGATTGCCAGTGTGACACAAGATAAATAAACAGAAAGGAACGACATGATGATGATCATGATGATCATGTTCATGATCTTGATGATGGTGATGATGGTGATGGTGATGATGGTGATGATGATGATTATTATACCAAACAGCCCAAGCAGGCCCAAACCCCGAAGCACGCCACACCGGGAGGGAGGCACCCCACGCAGACCCAGGGGGAGGCACCCCACGCAGACCAAAACCCCGAACCACGCCACATCACAGGGGGGGAGCAGGGGGACCATCATTTTCATGATGATGATCATGATGATGATGATGATGGTGATGCTGATGATTATACAAAGCACCCCAAGCAGACCGAAACCCCGAACCACACCACACCAGACCACAGGGGGGGGAGGCACCAAACGCAGACATCCCAAACCCCGAACCACACCACACCACACCACGGGGGGGCAGGGGGACCATCATGTTCATGTTCATGATGATGATCATGCAGAGCACCACCGGATACCGCACCACGGCCCACACCACAGGGGGGGGGCGGGGGGACCCCACACCACAGGGGAGGGGAGGGGGGGGATACTGCAGGGGCGGCGGGGGGGGAAAAGCACCACAGCACAGGGCCCACGCGGGGGGACCTCACACCCCAGGGGAGGGAAGGGGGGGATACCATGGGGGGGGGGGGGGGGGAGGGGGGGGGCAGCCCTGCATCATATATATTATATATATATATATATAACACCACCCCAAAAAAAAAAACAAGAGAGGGCCGGCCACGGCGATCCGGAGCAGCTCCTCCTTACCTGCAAGCAGGCTCGGTGGCCTTCTGGCCTTTAGGGGTTCCTTTCTAGGATCCTTTAAGTGATCCTTCAAGGGTTCCTTTCAAGGATCCTTTAAAGGATCCTTTATATAAGTGATCCTTTAAGGGTTCCTTTCAAGGATCCTTTAAAGGATCCTTTAAGGGATCCTTTAAGAGTTCCTTTAAGGATCCTTTTGTGGGTTTAAAGGGTTTAGGGGATTGGTTGTTTATAGGATTTTGCTTCCATGGATTGTGGTGGAACATATGGTTTGTCATTTATGTCATATTTATGGGTGCGCTGGCATTGTCGTTTAGTGGTGTTGTTCTATGGCTGCGACAAGAAGCTTCCGAGGGATTTAACGATTTTGATTGTGCTTTTTTAGGGTTTGGAAGGTCTTACAAGCTGTTTCGGGTGCAAGCTTCAAACAAAGGGCTTCATGGTCGGTACAAACACAAATGATATTTACCTCGGTTGCATTTATCGAGTCCCTGAACCCAGTAAATCCAGCCCCAACTCCTGAATGCCTGCACCCCAAGTGCTACACCCCGAACCGCCTACATCCTAAACACTACACCATAAACCGTGACCCTTAAGCCTAAAACCCGGCAAGGTCTGCACCTTATCCCAAACTCTAAAGTCCGGAACCCGCAAGCCACCCCTGCACAACCCTGAAGTTATATTGCCTTTATTTCAAGTACCTTTGACTGAAGACGCCCATTGGATTCTCGAAAAAGTGGCCCAAAGCCTGCACGGCCTAAACCCGCAAGGTAGTGCCGAACTTGAAGCTAGCTGCGACTCTCATCCCGGAGGCCACCCGGCTGTGGTTCGAATCAGTAGGGTGTTCAATGCCTTTATAGTTTTTCATCTCCAGGGTATATCAGTAATATCTTTTCAGGGTTTCGCAGAGTTTTGCATGCGCCGCCGCAAGAGTTCATAGCACGGGGTGTGAGACACACCGAAGCCATCTCAAAGTGAGGTTGCAAGTCTTCGGGATCTCAAGATGCAAGGTTTTTGTTGTAGGCGTGTTGCAGGTTCCCGGGTGTTTGTGGCTCCTGGCCGAATCCATTGCCCCTGGAAAGGAAGACTACCCAACCTGATCCTGAACCTAATTCTACCCTATCCTGAATGTAACCGTAGAATAATATAGTATGGTAATATAGAACTCCTATAGTAACCATAGACGAACCCTGTGATTGGCTCGATTTTGAGGGTGGAGCA